TAAATTTATAGTCTTCTCAAAAAAACGAAAATTGCTCCAAAATATACCGAAACTATATATGGAAAAGGTCGAGATAGACAGAGTCAACAGCTTCTCGGACTTACTTTTGACCAAAAACTGACATGGTTCCCCCACTTAAAAGCCCTTAAACAGGTATGCTCCCAACGTATCAACATCATAAAGGCCCTTGCCCACTACAGCTGGAGAGCAGACCAAGAAATTCTCTTAAAAACATACCAAGCACTAATAAGAAGCAAGCTGGACTATGGATCAATAGTATATAATTCAGCCAAACCTAACATAATCAAAATAATAGAACCCATCCAAAACACAGCACCGATCTGGCTATCCAAAAAAAAAAAAAAAAAAAAATGAAAAAAACAACATAGAACACAAACAGGATTTTCAGAAACTAAACAGCACCTACAAGTTAATCTGTCAATGAAATTTAGACAAACATTATCTTTCTAGCAAATTTAAATTTCCATTGGAGTTATTTTACCGTTCGTTTAAATTTTTAAATTCATGTGATTAGTCCTTCAAAACAAATCGTAACACGTGAATAAGTAATATCGTTTTGAATAAATAATACCTTTTTTATTGACAAAGGAGAAAAAAAATGAAGTAAACAAAGAGGTTAAAGTTTGGAGGTTTTAAAAATGGCGTCACATCCCGATTGTTTAGCAGCAATGTTGCTTAAATAAAAGAAAGCAAGAAACAAAGTCATTATTTACACGAAGAATAATCTAACCAAATGATTGCACATTAATTATTTCAAATTATTTCAGAATTTTGTAATATTTCGTTTAATGATAAATTTCAAATTTAACTATTGTCGTCCAAGTATGTTTCACAACAAAGTGAAGTTGAAAAAATGGAACGGTGAAAAGTGAGGTGGCGATCTGATTACATTTCGAACTTTTATTGCTGGCGATTGATTTAATTTTAAAATAAATACTTACCATTCAGCATATTAATTCTCCGCCTCTGACGTCAGAGAGTTCACTGGGCACATTTCACTGATTTTCTTGAGTTCCTCGAAGTTGAATAATCAACATTCACACTAATTGACATACTGATCGATAGTTCATACATATCAGGCAAGAATAATGTTACTCTTTATTATTGGTAAACATGGAGAAACAAACAGCAAAATCACACAATTTATTATTTGCTTTGTGTATTTTGTTTTACTTAAATATACTTAAAACTGAAAAAAATTTTGCAATTTTGCGACAAAAAGATTCTCGACGTGTTGCGTAGCAAGAGGTTAATATTCAAATTGCAAAAAAGGAAGGAAGAAATCGTACAGCAAGTTTCAAGGAATCGTTGTAAAGAGAAACTTCCAATTCTCGAAATTGCAGAAAGAATTTTTTAATGTTCTCAGAGACGTTTGACGTTTTCACAATTTCTGAGAACGAAAGTACCTTTACACGATGTAAAAATACCTTCGGACAGTCAAAATAGAAGCTTTACGATTTAAAATGAGACCAAGTAGATTCTCTTTTGCACGAAGTTGCAACAGAATTTTTGCACCCATCGTGTGGTTGATCATGCTCCTTATCGCGTATAAAACGAGCTCTCGATTTTACTTTTAAAATACACTGGCATCGTTTTATTCGAAAATGCTGGAACAGATGGTACACGGTGTCCGATTTACATACAGTAAATTATATGCGACACGAAATTAACAATATACATTTGAGGATACCGCAATATTCCGGCATACGTGATGCTGATCCAATACTGAATCGAATATTGGAACGTAAAATACGAACTGTCACATCGTCACATTATTAACTGTTTGATGTGATCTTCAGCTGATATTGATTACACGTTATTACTATTGACACTTTTGCACAACTATAAATCATAATTACAATATGCTCACGGATTACACGTTAAAATTTCTGGGGGAGAGGTGCCTCAATTGATA